GGAAAATACTTATCCAGGAGAGTGTATTAGGAATACCTAAGTGAGGTAGCTGTGTTATCTTCTGCAAAATATTGTTGTTATTAAATGTTCCCACCAGATACTTGGGCAGCTTGCATTTCAACTGCAAAACTAACATTTCATTATAGGAAGATATATATTCATAATGGATTGCAATTTACCAAAATACACAGAGGGCCCCAGATTTGTCAGTGTACATTTGCTCTGCAAGAAATGCATCTCGCTAAAAACCAGATGTCAAAATTAACAGTAGAGCTTTTACAATGTAGGGAAGAAAGCTGACATTTCTGAGCTGGTAGTCCAGCTGTGTTAACAGTGACAGGGAGCTTTTTTTGTTATTGAGTACAGTGTTTAGCAGTAGAATTGCATTAGCAGCTAATTTAAATTGCAAGTGGTGGGAAATGACTGTACTGTGGTGGTGGATCCTGGATCCCCTCCTCCAACCAAAATTTCCTCTTTCCATTCACTTGCTATGTTCTTGAAAGCTAAATTTCAATTACTTCAGTTCTGAGGAAATTGCTGAAGATCATTGTCAGGGTCAAGTTTTGGAGAGGGATGAGGGGGACAGGCATTTGAAAGCTCTTGTTTAAGTAACTGTTGTGAGATGTAAATCACTGATTCATACCCTCCTGTTTCCTAATGTGCTTTATCTTTCTGCTAATTTAACTAGTTTTCAGCGTATTTTTATGTGTAGCTTTCCTGAATCTGTATTGCCTATGTATTCTATATCGTCTTTTTCCTGTTCTTCGATGTTAGATAGTGAGTCAGGACACTGATTAGCTTGATTAATTTGTTGGCATAGACTTCTATAGGGGCCAAAGGGCCTGCATTTTTAGAAGTGAAGGTAATTAGCCACCGGAGAACAAAAGCACCAGTGGGTTTTCCAGCACTAGCAGTAGTAAGGTCAGGAGGTATGTTTTCCTAAGAGCCGTCTCTGGTTTTCCACTGGCATTAATTTTTGGAAGTTATATGGCCTTTACTAGGTGGAAGATGAATGATCTTGATGGTCTGTCATGTCTTGTAGTTCCCAGACCTGGTGCTTGGGATCTGTTTAGCTCTGATCTTGCTTGCAGGAAAAGATGGAAGGATTTGATCACATGTGCAAAGTCTGTGCCTCAAGAAGCTGGAGAGCTGTATCTCAGGTTACATCAGACTAAGGGCAATGAATTACTTGCAAAGTTGGGGGTAATCTTGGCTTCTGGAAGGCTCCCGGGGTCTCTATCAGTGATTGAAATACGGGTTGCAATCTCACAAAGCCTCCAAAAGTGCTTGCTAGAGAAGACACTGCATTAGAGGGTGCTGATATGGATTTATTCTGCTCTATGGGAAGGTGGGTCAGGGATGATGCTCTGGGGACCCTCTCTAAGGATACTGCTGTGTGCAGGCACGCAGCCTCCTGGAAGAACATCCCCTCCCTGCTGGGCTGAGAGGCAGGACTGGACCAAGCACACAGGTTAAAAAGGGAATGCAAATATGGGCAAAGGAATCCTGTGGAAGTCAATAATAGGTCAGATAATAAGACCTATTGTATTTATCAGTGGGTGCTGTCTTTGTTCTGGCCACTCATATTTGAACACCTGCAGAGGAGGATCCTTACTGGTGCAGCTCTGTTGTCTGGGGAAGCAACATCCCTTTTCACAGAGAGCAGGAAGCACTGACTTACCTGCAGGCCAGGGAGACACTCAATTTCAAGTCAAGACCATATTTCCTCTTTGAAATCCAGATAGGCAGAGATTGCTGTTGACCTCAGCAGCATTATGTGACCTTATCTACCACACAGATATTTTCCTGAGGTTTGCTATTAGAGAGGCAGGCCTGCAGCCGCAGGGCTTTGAGCGCACCCACGCTGGGCAGAGGTGCTTGGTGGGGCGGTGTGAGGTGCTCTGTGGGGCTGCCTCAGAGAAATAAGGGGAGAAACACTGAGTGGAAAACAAGAGCTCCCCAAAGCCAGCAGAGACACGCTCAGCCCTCTTCACTAAATCACCTGAGCGTGGTCTCAAACATCGGTTGCAGTGTTTTGCTGAACAGGGGCCCAACAGAGGAAGTCCTTAGGCAAATGAGTGTATAAATACCTCTGCTGTGAGTGTAACTGGGGCTGTGGAACTGTCACACAATGCAGTCAGCAATAAATAAGTTCCTGAATTAGAGAGAATCTCTGCTGTATTTCAGCTGTGACTGTTCGAGCTATGTGTAAAAAATGTCTTTTGAAATAGTAGCTGTGTCTGCGTTATCTTCCTCTAAGAGATAAGCAATTATGAGTATGCTATAATGATTTCTGAAAGAAAAAAATAGGATCTAAACAGCAATTACTTCTTAGTGCAGGAGATATTTAACTACCAGTACCTTGAATTGATTAAAAAGAGCTGTACTGATAATGCAATTTTGTAGCTTGTGACTTACACTGAATGGCACAATGAATCATGATGAAAGGCTGGAGAGATCTCTGATGGATCTTCCTGCTGCACTGGTGGCTCTGAGGTGGTGTGTTCATTTCACAGAGAAACCTGCTCCTGCATAAAGATTCTCATTGCTGAATTAACGCTAGTGTGGTTTTAGTGGCACGTTTTTGTTCATTAATGGTGAACATGGGAATCCCTCGCTTTGCTGAAGGGCCTCTTAGGAGAGCCGTGTTTCCAAGGGATACTCTGCATTCCTCTGCACACTGTTATCTTCTGTACTTATACCTGGAAGGATTTTGAATATCATACTTTTATGAAGTTTGCATTTTTCTTGTTTATTAATCATAGCAATTACATATGTTTTTCAAGCTTTCCGAAGTGCAAACCAGCTTTCCTCAGCTTGGATAGCTAACAGCTAGAAAGCAGAATTTTCCAGCTAACAGGTAATATCAGTGAATTCTTGGATTGTAGAAGAATTTCTATTTTCTCCTTAAATCACCAGGCAATTTATTTATTCAAGCTCTCTTGGAACCTGTTGCCTTGCAACATTGAACCCCAGTGCTGTTTTATGAGTCAAGTTAGCTGAGAGGTGCTTATGGCTTAAGTGTGTTCACGTATCTAATGGGCAGCATTGGGGTGTACGTTGCTGTAAGCAGGCAGAGCAGTTACCAAGCTGAGCTGGACTCATTCACTTTGATATTTTAATTCTTTCTTGCACTGTGTATGTAAAACAAATAAAATAGAAGGGGGGCTGGGGGGTGTTCAGTTCTCTGAGCTGCACTCTGAGCATCAGGAATGTTACTTCTGCTTGAGGTGGCACTTAGGTCTGAAATCCTTCTTTACCCTGGCTCCTGTAATTAGTCTGGTACCTCTGCAATGGGGTCTCAACTGTCTGAATCCTTGTCTTCAAGCAAGTACTGACAGCCCCCTCGTGTTAAGTTTTGTAAACACTAATTTGTGACATCTCCTGTGGCTTAAATCAAAGCACTCAACTAAAAGTAACATTCACTTTATCAGTGGTATTATTACAGAAGAAAATGCCTGTCACCCGACACCAAATGGATATGACACAGAGGGTGTTTCAGGAGACATTTGTAATGAGGAGGTGCCAGGGGAAGTAACGCTGCTTTAGCAGCCCTGAAGCTATCTGTTCTGTGGCCTGCTGGGCAGAAAACAAAAAGGGAGAATGTTGCTTGTTTCTAGTCTGGTTTGTGTTTTGCTCAGGTGCACATAAAAGAGGGGAGAATGACCTGGCTCCTGTAAGTCTTTATTTGAATCGCAGCTGTGCAATCTGCTGGTGCATCTAATCAAAGACACCAAAGCCCTGTTTGTGATAGGTGCTGTACAATCACGGGACACAGGTTTCTCCTTGTCTGGTAAAACTTGCAGTTTAGCAGTCAGGGGAGGCTATTATCTGAAATTATGCCTGGATTATACAGCTCTTTCCTTTTTGTCTCTTTTAACCAGCATTTTTGTCTTCCTTTCATATCCATGTTGGTTTAATTGTATGCATCATTCCTCTTTTCCTCTGTAATGTCCTCAGTTCCATTGTATTACATGAACTTTTCCTGTCTGGCAATACTGGAAACAGTAGAAGCTCCTGAAACCAAAACTTCAATGTCACACTTGTTAATTTTCAAAGAAGGTTCTGTAGGCATTCATAGTGTAACCATAACACAGACTTTCAAGCAGTTACCAGAGCTGGTTGTATCCATCTGCTGTGTTTAAGCAAGTTGAAGGATATAACAAACCTCTGTCAGCATGTAAGAAGCTCAAGCACACTGGGAAAGCAGACAGGGTTATCAGTAAGAGAACCATCACGCTGTGTAAATTCCCATCACATGGGAGGAGTAGGGAGCAGGGCAAAATGCCTGGAGGTGTGGCCCGCGTACAGACTCTAGGCTGGGAGTGGGTGGGTATCAGTACTGGGTGGTAGGTGGCCACTGGCTATCACCAGCCTGGAAACCTGACAGGTAGGCAGTCTTCTCAAGTGCTGAGGTTTTCTGTCTCTCTCCAGAGGGATTTCTCTGATTCTGCGTAATCTAAAGGTGTGGAGCACAGCATGGAAGTGGGAGGGAGAGAATGGAGAACAACCAGGTGAAGAGGTGATTACCCAGGAAGCAGTCTGGGCAACTCAGCTGGAGCTGAAGGTAAGAAATAGATGCAGGAATACAAGAAACACCTCTGTATCTGCAGTAGAGGAAGAGGAGGTTGTGTTGCTTCATGTGAACCAGGAGTACACTTGGGCTGTGTTGGGACATCAGTGGGCGGCAAACAACTGCACAGAGGTACATAGCAAGCAAACTCATGGGACTTGGGAGGCCGCTGCTTCTTTTACTTCCCCCAGATTGTAAACTGGTGCAGTGAGAACCCAGCTGCCCTGCTCACTGTGATACCCTGTGATGGAAGGAAACGACTGCTTTGTGGAGCTGGTGGCAGGGTGCCGGTGCTCACTAGCTGCATCCCTGACCCACACTCCACTTCAGCTGAGTGAACATTGAGCTGTGCTGCCATGGGGTATGTGGGGACCAGCACTTGTGGCCCCAGTGGCAGCCCAACTGCACCAAGTCCAGAAGAGCTGGACCATGCAGAGCTGCTCACAAGTCATAGAATCAACTAGGTTGAAAAAGATCTATGAGATCATCAAGTTCAACCATTACCCCAGGTAAGACCACCACTGAACCGTGTCACTGAGGGCCTCATCTACATCGTTTTTGAACACTTCCAGGGATGGTGATTCCACCACTTCACTGGTAAGCCTGTTCCAATGCCTGATTACCCTCTCTGTTAAGAAATTTTTCCTAATATCCAGTCTAAACCTCCTCTGTCACAGCTTGAGGCTGTTACCTCTTGTCCTAGCTCTTGTTACTTTGGAGCGTGTACCAGCATCAAGTCCAAAGGTTGAGGTCTGGTTTGGAGCCAGGGTGCAGAAGACTGCAGTGCCATGTGCTGGCCAGCTCTTCTTATTTCTAGTGTTCAGTAAGTCCTTTTAAAAAGGCTATAAACCTGGGCAGGTGCTGCAATGTCAAGTACGTTTCTCGTGTATTTTATTTCCTTTTTAATTTATTTTCTCTAAAAGAATGCACTTTTAAAATTTCTCTATTCTTTGTAGAATTAGGGGAAGCCCCATCTAGCGCGTCTGAATGCTTCTACCATGGAAATATTTAGTACCAGCCCTGGCATATTTATGTTGGCTCCCTGGTTAGACAATGTGCCAAGCTGTCCTTTGTGGCCTTAATTATCGCAACTTCAGGCCAGCACTGCCTGCTTACAGCATAATCCCACGGCCTAGAGTGAACCCTCAAAATGCTTAATTAAATGACATTCCACAGCAGATTAAGGAGTCAGAAGCCCAAGATAAAGAAAAAGGGACACTGTGACCATAGCAGTGGCAGGTGCTCTTCCCTTTCAGCATAATGCTCCTGACATGGGCCATATCATTTTGAGCATATAAAAAAACCCAACATTAACTGCTAGCGGTTTAGGGTCTGTGCTTGGCTTCTTGCATTTTCGGTGCAAAGTGATTCAGAGACATCTTTGGCTGGTGTATAAATGGGATCTGTGGACTCTCACTGATTTACATCAGCTGAGGGTCTGCTCTGTGTTCAGCATGATTTGACTGTCTCTGTAACCACTTGTGAGTTATGGCCTCATTGTGAAGATTGCTCATGTGGGCAGGCACTGCCAGCCAGGTTGCAGAGTGAGGCTCACAGTTCACATGGTGCTGCTGCACCTTCAACCAGCCTGGAACCAGCCTGCACTGGGGAAGGGCTGTGGGATGGACACCCTAGAGCAGCTTTTACAGCAGTGACCAGAGACTTTGCTTTGGGCACCTGGATGAGGCCCTTTGACAAAGTTGGTGGATGCCTTTGCTGCTTTGCAGTTCTGAAAATCCAGAGTGAGCGTCAGGGTCAGGCACCAAAAATAAGTTGCTATTTTAAAAATGATTTTTTAAAAGAAAACCCCTTTTCCCCATATAAAAACTAGCATGCAGTTATTTGGAACAGACGTGATTAAATTGTGTTAGGGAGTCCCCCTGGAAGCAGAAGCCTATGCCTAACCACTGAAGATCAGCATACAAATACAAATGTTGTAGATAATGTTACATTGCACAGATTAGGGCTCAAATCTTCAGCAAACCTGTTTGGAGCAAGGAAATGACAGCGAGCAGGGCATGTGCAGCACACTGAGCACATCTCAAAGGCCCATCAGTAAAGGCAGCTATTGATAATACTGTGGTTTATCATATTATTCCTCAATTATTTGCTCCAACAGCTCTCTTGTCTTTCTGACTTTGCTGAATAAGCTGTGTAGAAGCTGACCCAGAGTGATGTCTTCTTTGCAAAGAGAGGTGGATTGGGGTTGGGTGCTGGGGCGTTTCCAGGGCTTTGGTTCGTGTATTTTGTGTCCTCCAGTTCTATAACCTAATTTTGGTAATTAAAGTACAGGAGAGGGGAGTGAATTAAATGTCCCTGCTAACACAGGGGCAGTCACTGAGGGAAACAACATGCAGAGAGGGGTTGGAGGTGGCTGTAGCTGCTCAGCATGGGGGAGAAGCTTCTACTTCCTGCCTCTGGGGACCTGAGCTTTACTAGCTCTTATCATCCAAGTGAAAGGAGTTTAGAGGTCCCAGCCTAATCCCCAGTGCATGTTTTGCCCATGTTACAGAATGTACCAGATGCTTTGACACAATTGGAAGCTTCGGGTGCGTAGAGGCAAAGATGTTTTTATATTTGGCAGCAGAAGCAAGGCGGATTATTCCTCAAGAGCATCAGCTAAGCTGTGCGAGGAACTGTAGCGCACAATTTCCCTATCTCTGAAATGAAGAAAACATTTTGCTGAGCAGAGCTATTCAGGTGGTGAGTTTTTAGCATGCGAGTGTCTCCTCACTACAGTTCAGAGGCTGCACACACTTGCTGCATGTGCTTAATCCCTTGCCCAGTGCCTAGTCACAATTGGGTGCAGAGCAGCATCCTGGAGCATGTAACAGCATCAAACCAGCCCTAAGCCTGATCTCCCTTCTGAAGCTCTTTTATAGAGAGATATCATCTGCCTGAATGCTGTATGACTTTACCCAGCGCAGTGCATTTACCAACATTAGCATTTATCATCTTCTATTGCAGCTTTCCTTTTTGCAAATGAAGAGTAAAAGAGTTTAGAAGAAGCATGCATCATCTTACAGCAAAACCCTCTTTTTAGGTATTCCATGGAGGAATAACCCAGGGCAATACATGTGGCATAAGGATTTTTATTTACCCAGAGGTATTTTATGCTAGGAGCCAGCAAGTCTGCACAGATTCCTGTGCAGAGCTTTGTATGTGATAAAAGACATGAGCTCAAATATGTTTTCTTTCTTATATGTTTACTATTATTCGTCAAACTGAAAAGTCATCTTGTTCCAGTCTGAAGACCCAGTTCTGCCAGACTTAGAGCATCCTCGGTTTCTCCCATGACATCTCTTAAGTCATCAAGCAACATGTAGCTCTTGGATGCTTTGCTCTTCAGCTGGGTAGAAGCTCAGCCTCAGTGAAAGCCTAAGGATCGTACCCCAGTTTAGTCTTCCTGAGGCTTGTATGCTCACAAACCAGGACTCCCCTCAGCTGCAGCAGAGCTTTGTGCAAGTGAAGCCCCAGTGCTGAGCCCATCTGAAGGCCTCCTTTGTGCCGGAGCAATATAAAGGTCTTTAGATCTAGTCTTCAGCCTTGAAAGTGCTTCTTTGAAGTCTCTGGGCCTTCACGTGTCCTCCAGACTTTCATTTAGTGTAGTGTTCTTTGGGTAGGGTTTTTTTAAGGTTTCACGTAAGATTTCAACAAGCTGGGGATGTATCAAAGTATAAAATACTTGCTTGGGCCTTAATCAATCCAAACTGTTCTCTTAAAAGGGAAAAATAAAGGCTGTTAACGCAGGCCAGACACTTACAAGGCAGCAGATGTTTCTCTTTATTGTCAGAACAGCAGTCTTTATTAAATACCAAAGAAAGCCCTCTAAATCCAGGAAGGCAGTTGAGTCTATGCTGAGGACACCTCTTCCTCAGGGTAAACAATCTTTTCCAAGTCATTTGTTTTTCCTGCTGATCCTTCAATGGTGTTTCCATGACATAAAAGCAAAAGGGAAAATGAATATTTAACTGTGGAGATAACCCGATAGTTAAAGCTTGAAAAGAGAACTTGGTGAAGTGAGGTAAAGAGCTGAGATGATGCGTTTCACAGCTGTGCTGTGTTCTCCTTGGTGCCAGGACTAATGTGGGCCTGTTCCAGGGGATGCCTGGAGGTGCCCCATGTTTAGCAGTGGGCTGGTACACCTGGTCATGACCCAGGTAATGGTTAGGCATATCATCTCCCAGGAGCATGCCTGATGGAAAGCAAACAATGGGTTGTTATTGCCTGGGGATTGCAGAGTGAAGCCTCTGTAGTATGGAGCGAGCTCTTTTGGGGTTGTCTGGAGAGGACCCGCTATAATGAGTCTTGCTAATGGCATCTTCCACTTTTAAGAAATAACAACAAGGTTTCGTGAATTAATAAAAGTAAGATTGTGATTGACTAGCCAAAGGGTGTGCCAGTCTATGCAACTGCTCTGCTTTAACTAGGTAATGACCAGAGATATGGCATTAATTTAATTCTCAGTTGAAATACTCCAGAGGAAATGTCAGATCAATAACGTAGAAAAGGGCAAAGATTCGCTAAGCCTGGCTGGCTTGTGTATGTTAACTACCATGAGATAGATATGGATAAATGCTGAACATTAAGGTGAGTAATCACAACTGTCTTGGGTGTCTGAAAAATCATTCTGCGTAAACACTGTACAAAGCAAACATGTTTCAGGCACGAAGCTGGGTGTTAAGGTAACAGACTGCTCTCTCACACACGACGCCGCAGTTAAGATCTATGGGTTTGCTTTTTTAATGGAATAAGATAAAAAGCCTCTTTGCAGGCATTTTCCCATCCTCCCTAGTGTGGTGCTGAGTTTCCCCATGCCTATCCCTGCACTGACACATCTTCAAGATTGCATACACCAGCACCAAGCTCTTGGTTTCAATCTGGATTTTGCCAGCATATTGTCTGGATGCATCTCCTACTGGCTTCAAACTACGACCCAGAGGAGATGCCAAGAAGAGGAGAAACCTTATGTTTGTGTTCCAGAGTCAGCATGAGATTTGCTTGCATTAGGGTTTTCTGCTTGGCTTTTCAGGCTGGTCTGCCTCCCCAGGCCCTTGTACCTGCTGGTGCTCTGACATCATCCAGCATCACCAAAGCTGGGCAGGACCACTCAGCTTTCTGAATTCACTCTTCAATGTCCAAATCTGGATCATTATTCTGACTTGAGCCCATTGTGGTCCAGAGATGAATCGCATCCTGTATGTAGATGGCCATAAAACACCTAAGAGATGAGTAGGTCCCACATTACATGAGATGCTTCCATCGGACTGGGTAGCAAAGGTTGCCCCAAAAGCAAATCCCACCTTTTTGTGGGAGCTGCTTCTGTAACCAGCAGCTGTGCTCAGCTCTGGTCATGGCTGCATGTTTTCCTTCCAATGAAGATAAGAACCAGTAACTTTCTTGGCCTTTAGGCCTGAATCTCAACTGTTTGAGAATCACAGAGCATTTTTTCCATGTAACCTTTGTTAAACCACTCAGAAACCTTGAGGATTATTTTACATAAATAACATTATCTCTTCCAGTGCTGAGAGCGAGGGCTCTCCCAGAGCCCGTGTCTGTGTTTGGAGTCTATGGGAACACTGTGATTTCAGAATTGCCAAAGCAAACAACAGGTGCCTGTGTTATTTTGCAAGTAGGAGCTCCTCAAATATCAGACTTTGGCAAAGGAGATGCTTCCTCACAACACTGCTTTTCTAATCCCAAAGGCCCCTGGAAGCCTGGGTGGTGTAATTACGGTAAAGGATGCTGAGTTGGAAAATAGTTTTAAATCTCCTTTGATGAAAAAGTCTTTAAAGTGCCTTCCCAACTACTTGTTCATCTGCTTAATTTCTGATTTCAACAAAGGTATGGGTCAGTATCAGGTTTAAGTACAACTGGAGAAGGCACACGGTGACTCAGAGAACCCATAATAACCTTTTTCCTAGGGGCTTGGCTTACCTACTCCAGAGAATTGAGCATGGGTGTAGCTACACCAAGGTCTCTGTACCAATACAAACCTGTGGTTCAGAAACATAATGAGATTGGAGAAAATGCTTACACCGATGCAATTCATCAGTGCAGGTTGCACTGATGTCCAAGCAGGGTTTGTCATGGCGGTGACTACTATTAGGTATGCTATAGTGGAGTGAGACTGGACAGAGCAGTTCTTCAAGTGGGGCTGCTTCACTACTTCAGTGTTTAAAGTACCAGCTGCTGGATTTTTGGGGAGCTGCTGAAACCTTGAAGTGATTTTTCCCTGCTCCAAAGGACCAACTCATGCCACAAGAGCCACCCACCCAGTATTTGCTTCTGTACCTATACCAATAGATGCTGGTTTCCTAGCAGGATGGTGATATACAGGATCTGCCCCCTGAGCGACAGTAAGCCCCTGCATGGGCAGGATGGTGTGGGAGATGTGTGCTGCTGTGGTGCTGTCTGGGGATGTGGGGTTTGGAAGGCAGCTGAGGGCAGCACAGTGCCTCCGCCTCAGTGTCAACTGGCCTTACTGGGCTGCTCCCAGCTGTGTTTTAAAAGGGAGAAAGAGCTGATAGAGCTGGAACTGCTTTAAGGTGGAAATGAAACAATAGCTTGTGGCTGGCTGAATTAGTTCCCTTGTTCCGTGAATTTGACTCAGAGCTGAGTATTTCAGAGCCTCAAAAAGAAAAAGGCTTATTTCAGTTTTGGTTCTAATAATGGGCAAAGGTCACAGCAGCTGGAAGGAGAGGGGAAATGAAAGGCATGGGTTTGGCTATTTTCTCTGAACCAGCTTCACCCATTCCTGGTTACAATCTCAGCAGAGTAAGAACTGATATTAAGCAAAGCCAAGAAATGAAATTAACACATGCAAAATTACATTAGAGCCATGGCAGGAGTCCTGCTGCCCAGCAGCATTAGCAAGGCTTCCTGGTGCAAATTAACAAGGGCAGTGAGGAGCTCCTCGCTCTGCCATGCATAGCCCATACCTACAGCAGTGGCAGGGCAGGGCTCTGCTCTGGCATCTACCTGCACCGTGGTTGGGGCACCCACAGCTCTGCCCAAGGCTTGCAGAGATGCTCTGCTACGAGTGCACCCAGAGCTCAGCCTTCTCTAAGCTGCCCATGATGCTCTAACATGCTGTAACACATGCCAGCAAGCTCAAGGCTCGATGTGCAGAGCTGGTGCTTGAGCTTCTCCAGGGATTTGGCCAGCCATCAACAGCAGACCTTGGCATGCTGCGAGAGCTGTACGAGAGGAGCAGCCAGGATCCCAGCCACGTGGGGTCATGGCCAGGCTTCCACGCACCAAGACAAAGGACATCACCTGCCCACAGCCTTCTCATGGCTCCAAGTCCCAGTTCTGGTCTCTGAGATGCTGCAGATCTTTGCCTACTCTTGAGATTATCTATAGCCTGTTATCTATTTGCCTATCTAAGAGTGAATGCCTTCACTTCCAAAGTGTTATCCCTAGGGACTGCCCCTAAGGATTCTGACAACAGTTCGGCTTGCAAATGCGTTAACCTGGGGATGGTGGCCCCGGGAACCAAGAGCTTCCTGCCCTGTCAAACTTTTCAGCGTGCCTGCTGGAAGTACCTCTGCATCTGTGCAGAAAATGCATAAAACACAGGCTGACATATAGAACAGGGAATGGCACAGAAGGATGCATTTTATGTACATTAATTATAACAATAAACCTCCTAAGGAACAATTACATTTGAGGAGATGAGAAGAGCTGATGGGATACAATAGCCATGGAAACCTTTTTTTTCATTGCTTCTTGGCAGTGATAGCGTTGCCTCACTGGGCTTAGTATAGCACTGCGCGTCAGAAGGGTTGTTAGTGCTGGGATGTTGCCTTGAACAGGGCTGAGCTTAGCCCCTGGGGACACGACCAGGGGCTAAGTTTCACCAGTTCACCAATGTGCTGTCTCTGCTCCCACCAGTGATGCAGAGACATGTCTTGGTGCCGCCTGGATGCACGTACAGGCAGCAACAGCAAACACAGGCTGGTAAAGCTGGGTGCCAGGGAGGTGAAGGCAATGCTGCTGGGGGGAGTGGGTCAGTGGTGCCCACTGCTGTGAGGAAGATGCTGCCTATGCCCTAAGCCTGGCTCTTGACAGGCTTGTGTTTTGCCTGGGAACCAGCCAAGCCCGTGCTGCATGCCATCTGCTCTCTTTCCTGAGAAATCCCGTCGGTGAACACCTTGTCCCAGAGCCAGACACCCACCTGGAGGTGTCCTGGGTCCTTTGGCCTCTGTGCAACACCTTTCATGCTTCCTCTGCTGAAAACCCCCAACCCCTGGGCACTCTTTTCCTTGAAAAAGACCCAGGTTTTCCATGCACTGCCCTGTATGAAGTCTTGGGGGAATAACCCATCAGCAGGTGTCTGTCTGCATCTGGTCTGGGGTTATCCCACAGGGCAGGGGCTCAGCCCCAGGCTGATGTGCCACACTGGCTGTACTCTGTGGGGCTGGAAGCACGGTGGCCGGCACTGGGGGGAGATGCTGGAGAGTGAAGGGTCAAATGGTGGCTGTGGGGAGCCTTGGCCAGGGTCTCCCACTGCTTCTCCATTTGCAGCTCAGTGGGAGCCAGCAGCAGGCTCTGGCCTCGCAGCATTCCCCGCTGCTGAGAATGTGCCAACACACCAGTTTGACACCTGTGGCTCTGGTGCAGCAGCGCAGGTTTGCACAGAGCAGGGAGATTAATATGAGTATTCCCATGGCGTGGTTAACGACATCATTTACTTCAGAGGCTCTTGGGACGGCGCTGACACTCGCTTTAGCAGCTCAAGTGTTTAATGTGTTCTCCAAGACACTCTCTAAACACAGATAGAGCTGAGCGACACAAATGTATTTGCAGAACATTTTAGGGCTAGCAAGCTCCAGAGCGAATGATGGTGGGGGTTAGGAGCCTTTGAGAGGAGCGTGGTTCTGTGAGGGCTCGTGCTTATGAAATACATCACAAACCTCCCTCTCTG